TCAAAGTGGCAGTTGCCCGGCCCCTTCCGGATGAGAAAGCCCTCTGGAGGGGAGATGCACAGGCTGTCCAGGGAGACATGGACGATTTTGGCCTAGCAAACAAAAGGAATAACATTCCTGAAGAAAGAAGCCAGCGGGGAGGGCAGCCGTGTGTGCTGATGCGGCCGGTGCTGCTGGCCGCTGGCATGTGCGACGGATGGAGAGGCCTCAGAGCGCCCAGCCTGAGAAACAGTGCCGTCTGTCCTTTCTCCCAGACCAGGTTCACCTGGCTGGGTACACTTTCCAGCATCATCCCTACTCTGTGCTAGGCGCTGGGCAGACAGCAGGGGACCAGGCAGGTGAGGCTCCTACCTCAGTGGACAGGTACAGACATGCTCCACTCCACTCGGCTGCAGTGGCCTCAGGTGGCGCAACATGGCGGTCAAGGGCATGGACTCAGGTGCTCTGACATCCACCATTGTTAGCTATGTAATTTCCTTAACTTATCCATGCCTCAGTCTCCTCATCTGTTAAATGGGCTCAATAATAACTCAGGGAAAGCATTTGGAACAGAGCAGTGCCTGGCACAAAATATATGCCCGATAAGTGTACTTGCTCCTTCCTCGAGCCCGGGCTCATGCCTCACCCCCGACCTAGTACTTCCGGTTCTCCCTTCTCATAGCTCTGACTTTTTAAACGTGCTGAACCTAAGAGCGCACTTACAGACACAGGGCGGCCCGGGGAGGGTCTGTAAGCTGTACACTAAGAGAAGCCGCAGCTCTGGAAGGAGCATGCCTGGGGGCTGGAGGTACCAACTCCAGGCCCCACAGGCCCTGGCACAGTACGTGGGGGGAGCCCAGGTCCGGGCTCTCAGGATCTGAGGTCAAGGCCTGGCTGTGTCAACTTTCATGTGACAAGGGGTGACAGCTACCTCCCAACGCAGGTACCACCCTCCTTGTGATTTTACAGATGAGGAAACTGAGGCCAGGGAAAAACAGACCACGTTCTGAAGGTCACACGGCTGGTAAGAGTCAGGCAGAGACTCAGACCCAGGGCCTGTGACCCCAGAGCCCTAACTGCACTGCTGTGCTCAGGCGCCCTCATCGTCATCACTTCTGTGGAGTAGGCGGTGTGTTTCATGGTTCATCGTAACAGGTCAGAAAAGCCCATGCAAAAGGGCGTTTCTGATGCTCCTTTCCACTTTCCAATAAAGGCTCCTGCATTTTTCCACCCAGCAGGAGAACGTAGCATGGGGCTTAGCGTGTGGGCCCCAAGCCGGGCAGATGTGGACTGGGGCTCTCACTGTGGGACCCCACATGAGTGACTGGCTCTTTCTGAACCTCACTTTTTGACACCCTGAAAGATGTGGGTAATAACACCTGCCCCCCCAGAGGCTGGGACGAGGGTCCAGGGAAGTGCCAGGCCCCATGAAGCCCACCAGGAACAACAGGGCCGCAGCCAATCACTGCGAGTCAGAGGCCGGGCCTGCTGAGGCCCCAGAACACCCAGAACAGACGAGCTGCTGCGGTTTCTCCACCTGCCCAGGCTCCTTCGCCTGCATTTGCTGTCTGCAGAGGAAGGAAATGGCAGCGTGCTCTGTCCCTGGCTGTGACCCCCAGCTCCATTTGGAACGTTCTGGAGGATTTATGCTCCTCTCTGGCAGCCACGCCAGCCATTCCTCAAGGCACCGTTTCCCTGACAGCAGGCTGGTCACGGCCCCCCGCTCCCAGCTCACCCCTCGATAGGTGTCCTCGGGAGATTTATTGTAGTTCCAGAAACGCAGGCCGGCGATGCTCTCGGCTCTGTCGAAGCGGATGGTGACCACATGGTCCAGGCCTGGCGAGAAGGGGACCAACCACATGTGCTCATCCTCCATCGTGAGGTTGGCTCCGTCAATTAACCTGCACGCAGCAGGGAGGGAGCAGTGAGGGGGTGTGGCCCAGGTCCCTGGGCAGACGTCAGGTCTGTGACCTGCTCATCTCGCACTGAGGCCCTGGCCCAATCACCTGGCCGAATCGGGCGCATTAAGGGAGGTGAGACTAATTAAAGCAACAGTGAGGGGCCACCTTTCATCTGTGAAATGAGACAAAATAAGAAAGCAGGAAAAAATAACTGTCTATGCTGTTTAAGGTGCGATGAAGCAGTCACCAGTTTTTTTTAAAGGCAGGGGGTGGGCGGGACGAGGGACTGTGTCACTTTTCAGGACCCTTTAACCCACTGATCCCATTTCTGGATTTTTTTCCCCCCTCAGGAAAATGTATTCAACATGTGGGAAAGGCTATCAGCACCAAGATATTCATCATAATCTTATTTATATGAGAAAGAGAAAAGATACCCTAAGAGGTCTCAAAACAGGTGGGGGTGATCAGTTAGCTCAGTTGGTTAGAGCATGATGCTGATAATACCAAGGTTGCCGGTTCGATCCCCACATGGGCCACTGTGAGCTGTGCCCTCCCTAAGAGTCAACTGTGCCATTGTAGCGTGAAAGCAATGTGTAACCAATGACCATGGCTGTGCCCCAATAAAACAAAACAAAACAAAAAAAACAAAAGTTAGGGCCGGCCAAGTGGCGCGATGGTTAAGAACTGGTTTGGGACGCCAGAGGGCCCTGGTTCGGATCCCACATATGAGGGCCAGTGACACTGCCCTCTACAGCTAAGATGCTGAACAANGAGGGCAGTGTCACTGGCCCTCATATGTGGGATCCGAACTGGGGCCCTCTGGAGTCCCAAGCCAGCTCTTAACCAACGCGCCACTCGGCCGGCCCTCAAACTCTATTCTTAATAACATCTTCTACTGATTTTGCAATTGAAAAAAAAATAGAAATTTATTTTAGAGTTAATAGCTGTACAGCCTTTCTTTCCTCCTAAATTGCAGGGTACATACAATATTATAAATATCTGCTGAGATTCCAGGAGCGCATGGGCTCGGCATCCGTGCACTCTCCCCAACAAACGTGACCAGCACTCGTGCCTTGGGTGGGAATGGACAGCTGGGCTCCCTTGAAAGCCACCGCACTGGTGTTGGTTCCGAAGGGCTGGTGTGATCAGGCCCCCCACCCCCACCCCCAAGTCAGCTCTCCTGGGAGCCCGGGTGCCTTGGGGGAGCTTGTCACATCTGGGAGGTGAGCAGAGAAGCAGGGGCTTGGAAATTATAGAAATGATGGATCTTTTTAGGAAGAAACAATTCCTGATATTCACATCGACCCCACGCTCCAAATGAAAAGCACATTTGCACAGCTGCCCTCGTGCATGAGGAGGCTGCAAAGCTCATAAAACGTTTGCAGGGCTCTGGGGCGCATAGGAAAGTCCTGGAGTACAGTATCGCAGCGGGCCGGGCCGGGCCGGGCGCCAGGAAAACAGCGGATTAATATCGGGACAAGAAATTACCCACCACTGGGAAACCAATTAGGTCCCTGATCTGAGCTTGTTACATAGATGGAAATAGATGCGTTCCGGGCTTCACTCGGCTGGGGGTGCGAGGCACCTTTCCAACTTGCTGGGAAGCTGCTGGGAGAGGGAGAAGGGGTGGGGCCTGGGCAGCCAGAACCTCACTGCAGGACTCCAAGGGCAAAGGGCACAGATGTGGACAAAAAGGAGAAAGCAAGAAAAGCCTGCTGTCAACCCCAGGGACGCGGCAGGGAGTGCCTTGAGGGCCGCCTCCCTCCAGAGTCTGAGTGGAAGGAAGGGCTGCCTCTGGGGCTGAGGGTGGGGTCGTGGAGCTGGTTCTCTGCCTCCCCTGCAGCCAGGGGACATCTGGATGGGCCCTCTGGGGTTTGAAGCTGCCCACCTGTGGTCCTGTCTGGGCCTGGCAATGCCTCAGAGACAGTGCCGGCATGCCAGGGTGAGCCCCGCTCCGGACAGTGGGTGGGCAATCTCCCTTGCTTTCCTCAGCAGGACACATGCCCTAGGCCAGTCCCTTCTCAGGCTTGACAAGCGGACAGCGGCCCCTGCAGGAGCAGCAGGTCTGGGATGGGGGAGGGAGTTGCAGCAATCGTTGTTAGACACTGGGGGTCCCACCCTCTCAGGTAGCCCCGCCAGCCCCCAAATGAGGCCCGTGTGTGTGAGGGTAGGGGAGGGTGAGCTGGCGCCTCAGCTTGGGTCTCTGAAGGCGGAGCCCCCCCAGCACACCCTGTGTTTGAGGCCTGGTCCCCCTGCCCTCTCAGCCAGGCTCCGGGCTGGATGGGAGGCCTCTCCAACTATCTCCCTGCCCAGGCCCGAAGCGGGCAACCTATGATAGGCCTGAGTGGACACCAGCCCTCCTTTGCTGGATCTTATGGGAGACGCACCAAGCGGGGTGTCCCGGGCTCCCTGCTGGATAGGGTGGCAGGTCCATAGCAGCAGCCTTGGACCCTCCCGCCCGGAACTGCTGTCTTTTCCAAGGTCGCCCACCCCTCAAGTCCCTTTTCCCCAGCGGGCTCCCCTTCACACCACAGTTCTCTTCTAGCCCCTGGGTCTGGGCTGGCCACTGAGGACTGAGGGCGGGGGCACGGATGCTGAGTGGCGGCCAGTGGCGGAGCCCCACGCTGGCTGCGAGGACCAGTTCCATCTTCCTCTTTCCCCGGTCAGCACCACCATCGTCTCACTGTCTCCTTCTCACTTATGCAGGTTTTGGGGCGTAAGGCTGTTGGGGGAGAGAGCACAAAGGGCTCGGTGTTACCAGCCTCACCCCTGGGGGGCTGCTGCTCGCCCTCAGGCTGAAATCCAAATGTCTGGGTTGCCATCAGGCCCTTGTGGACCTGGCCCCCACCTGTGGCTCCCAGCAGCCTGACCCACTGGCACACTGACCCACCCCCTCTGCCTGGAGCCGGCCTCCGCCCACGCGGTTCCCTCTGCCAGGCCAACTCCATGCAGCTCATATCGAACCTCCTCTGGGAAGCCCTCGTCCTGTGCATACGCTCCTGGCTTCCCCCGGCCCTGGGCACCGCCTCTGATAACATGCTTCTGCCCTCAACGGGCTTCTCCCTCGTAAGGAGGGAGGCCTGGCTTCCGGAGCGGCACCAGGCCACCAGGGAGGGGGCCTGTGGGAGGAAGGGGGCACATGGCTCCGGGTTCTGCCCGCATCGGCCCCTCCTCAGCCTCAAGCAGGCTCCCGGGTGAAGAAAAGGGGCCTGAGGGTGGGCAGGGGCAAGAGGTGTGATGCTGCCAGCTCCTCTATTCGGCCCCGATTCCTGAGGGGGGCGCTCGGCGCAGGGCGCGGGAGCTGACCTGGGTCCACGGCCCTCTGCTTCCTTTTCGAGTTGGTAATTATTTGGTTTTCATTCATCATCTGGACATCCTGGTCCTCCACCTGCCTGCAGCTGGGAGGGAGGAGACGGAGACCCCCGTCAGGCCCGGGCCACGTGTCCCTGCTATCCGTCCCGTCAGGGCTGGGGGGTGCGGGGTGGTCATGGGGCGGGACTCGGGGCGCACCTGACGGCGGTGTGTTTCTCCTGCTGGCAAATGTCCGTGTCCTCGGTGAAGAGGATGGTGTGGTGGGGCACTGTGGGTTCGCACGTGGGCAGGATGCCCCCAACCAGGTGGCCAACCATGGCCAGGATCCCGTTGTACACCAGCAGGTCGTCCACTAGAAGCTGAAGAGATATAGGCGGGGCTTTGAGGAGGCCCCGCCCCCTTCCCATACGTGGCTTTGCGCACAGCTCATCCCAGCGCAGAGCCTCGCGCATAGGTGCCCTGTCTGGGTTAGGATTTGACATGGTCACAGCCATGGGGAAGGCACAGGCTCTCAGCTCCAGGTTGCAGATGAGAACGCTAAGGCTCAAGGGACTGAAATAAGCTTTATCCTGGGAGGCAGAGCTGGGAGGCCACCGGGGTCCCCATGCTCCCCAACCCAGTCGCCCCCCCTGGAATGAAGAACTCCCTAAACCACTATGATTCGAGAAGAGGAAAGAAAAGCCACTGTGTTTTCAGGGCGATGATTCAAATCGCTCCAGGAGGTTTGAATTCACAGCTGGATGGCAAATTTCCCTGCGTGGAAGACCGGGAATTTGTGTCTAAGGTTTCAACAGAGAGAAGTCAATCAAACTGTGACAAATGATAACTGCTGGCGGCCTAATTACCAGTGAGCATGATAATCTTAAAAAAAAAAACAAAAAACCCCCCAGCTAATAAGTACTTACACCAAATTCCTTCACCCCTCGTTGGGGCGTTTTCGCGTAATTCCACAGTTTGATCATTGACACCGTGGTAGGCAGATCGAAAATCACATAAACCCGGTTCACCTGTCAGAGAGAAGCACTAATTAAAACAGGCCTGTTTGCAAACAGAGACGCTGGGCTGGGCGGGAGCTGTCAGGCGTGGTGGGGAGGAGCGCCTGAGGCGGTGCGCTCACGTGAGCCAGCCCGGGCTGCTCAGGGCTGGGGGCAGGGGGTTCAAGCTGGCTTTCATCTGCGCGAAGCCCATCGTGAGTCAGCTCACGTGTGGCTGCCTTTAACAAACCGCTGAGCTGGCTCTTGGAGGGCCTGCTTTCTTGGGCCTGGCGTGGCCCCCATTTCAATACCCGTGGAGAGCTGGGTGCGTGCGCCCTTCCCTTTCCCCCAGGTCAGGCCAGAAGCACAGTCTGGGGCATCGTGGGCCAAGGGGACAGGCTGAAACTCCCGAGTCAAGGAGCCCCCAGCAGTCAGTGACCCCTGTTTGTCCTTTCCCCAATCTTGAAAGCACGGCTGACAGGCCTAAAAGGCACTGCTGGGTAATTTGCAGCATGTCCTTGAGTCCTTGAATCTCTGCCAGGAGGGCGGGGGGAGGGGGTGGTCCAGGTCGGTGGCAGCATCAGCTAGTGAAGTGGGACCCAACAGCCTCCCATCCTCCCTCCCCAAAAAAGAGTCTTAAATATTAGGGTGCCCCTTGCAAGACAGAATGAAGCAACAAGCCTTCAGTGCTGACCATGGGCTGAGTTTTGCCTCAGCTCTGCCCTGGCTCTCAGCCTGTGGCCATCTTCAGGCTGCCCCAAGCACCCCGAGATGATGGCAGGCAGGCTGGACTGCCATGGGGACCCTGAGCGTGTGGCCCGCCTCTGAGGGCTGGTAGGCCTATGGACTCCCCCTTGCAGAGGTGGGGTTGGGGCTGGAGGGCTGGCCTCCGCCCAGGGAAAGCTGATGGACCCTGATGGGGGGTGGGGGGGGGAGGAAACTCAGGGGGAGGGTCCTTGGAAAACCTCCAGCACAGAACTGCTGAAGTTGCCCTTCCTGTGTTTTGAGAGGAAAATATAGCCCCTTATCCTTTCATTTAATTCTTTTAAATTGAGTGGAAATGGGGACCCTCAGTGGTCACACGGGTGCCCCAGGCTGCTGCACATCCTGACCGAGGCCTCTGGCCCCGTGGCTGGGAGGCTGGTGGGTATTAAACCCACCTGTCCCATCTCGTGGCTTCTCTACCTCACTCTCTACCTCCATCCACAGGGCCCAGGTGGGCAGAGGCCAGCCCTAAGCTCACCATCAGGCCTTAGAGAAAAAAGATAAGCAGGACCAACGGCAGGTCTGAGACTGGGGAAACTGAGTCAGTTTGTTGGCAGAGAGAAGGCACACCTGGGGACAAGTGCCTGGTGACGTAAGGAGGGAGCAGAGTGAATGGGAAACGGTGGGGCCGAGTGGGCTGCAGAGAGAAGCACATGCAGGAAAGAGAAGCCGGGAGCGATGCCCACAGCGGCCATGGATGTCCTGGGCCCCAGGCCTGCTACACTGGGGGCTCCTGCTTTCAGAGTCCCAGGGGTCGCTTTACCCGATGCCCCCTGTAATAAGCACCCCCAGAGCAAAGAGAAAGAACTGCTGTCCCAGAAGAGCTGGTGGCAAAGACCTGAACCTCCCTGAAAGCTCCCGGGCATTTTGACTCATTCAAGAGTCACTTGGCCTGGCAGAAAGACACTTTTGAGATGAGGGACCAAGCTCCCCTGCCCACCCCCGGCTGAGGGCCTCTGGGAACCCACCAGGCCCGGCAGGATGGGAGCCAGCCACATGTGCCTGCCGTCACTGGTGTCATTCACTTGGTCGATGAGCTTGTCGGGGGTCCGCACATCCCCACACACGCCCTCCAGGGAGTTCACGCTGTCGGGGAAGGCGGCGATATCTGAAGAGGCCTCTAAGCTGCCATAACTCAAAGCAGTGTGCTCACACCATGTGCCCCTCTCGCGGCCGTCAGCCTCTGTCACACGGACTGCGGGGCTCGGGGGACATGGAGCCTGGCGCGGCTGGCAGGCAGCGCAGCTGTCTGCTGTTTTGGGCAGCCAGAGAAATGACAGCCAAATTAGACATGTTCTGGGGGAAACGAGAGATGGAGGCCGAGGGGCGTGGGGGTGAATGTGAGGCAGGGCGGCCAGTTCTAAGGAAAGTGGAGGAAACACTGCAGACAGATGGCTGGAAAGGAGGAGTGTCACGGAGCCGCTGGGGAGATATGCGGCTGACACTTTGGAGCATGGAGGGCAAACTCTGCAAAGGGTTTCTTTCGCAAGGTCATGGCTGGACTCTGCCTTGGCATGTGAGGGCCCCTCAAGACCGGAAGGACTGGAGGAACCTGACCCAGCTACGGCTCCTCAATGGATGGACATTAACGTGAGTCTATTAACGTGAGAGAAGTGGGTTCCAGCTCTGGCTCTGCCATTCTGACCTGTGAGGTCTTGGCAAGTCACAGGATGTCTCTATTTTCTCATCTGTAAAATGGGTACAAAAATCTCTACATCCCAGAACCGGAGGATATCAGAGGCCACTGGACATGCATGCTATTGGAATCAGTGAAAAGCCCAAACCACTAAGAGTCATTTATCCCAGGGGAGGAGGATCGTGTCACCAGGGGAAGGCAGAACAGGACCCAACTGGAGCCCGGGGACCCCAGAAAGATGCCAGGAGGCTTTGGGGTTTGACCTGCTCGGGCAGGTCCCTAACTGTGCTGGGTCGGGGGGATCACAGGTTGAGAGCCCAGAGGGGCCAGGCAGGTGACATCAAAGACAGCTCAGAGGTCACGAGCATGGTCTCTAGAGCCAGAATCCCAACTCTAACACTTGCTGGCTGTGCAACCTTGGGCAAGTTACTCAACCTCTCTGTCTCAGTTCCTCACCTGTAAAATGGGGATAACAACAGCACTGACTTTGCTAGGTTGTTGTGAGGGCAGATGAGAGGCTGCCTATGCGACGAGCCTGGCCCAGTGCATGCAGAGTGACCCTTCAGCAAATACTAACACTGGGTTTTGGGGGCTGGGTGGTGAACAGTGAGTGAGGGCTGAGGTCAAATGAGAAGGACGCCTTGGGGGAAAAGGGCGGCAGATATTCAGGTCCGGCCATCGTCGCTGTGTGTGACTGTGGCCTCAGATTGCTACGTTCTCAGGAGAAGCTAAGATGGGGGCTTTCGTGTGAAACCCGATTTAAAAAAATATATATCAGCAACTAATTTAAAAGAATTAAAAGCCAGGACACACTGAGTTGAACAGTGTAACAGGTGGTTCCCTGCAGGCTTTGTCAGGGCCTTTAGAACTCCAACATGACCGTGGTTCTCCAAGGGGGACTGCAGCTGGTAGCCTCTCCCCACTCCCTGGACCACAGGACCCTCTGTTTTGTGGAACCCCTGTTCTGGATCCCTGGTCAGACATGGCTGCCTGCTGCTCACTGCTCTGCGCACCCCCCAAGGGCCAGCATCTGACTGGAAGCAGAGCATGTGGCATTTTTAATCCCAGGTCTGCTTCCTATGGGGTCATTTCCCTGTCCTTCCTGGGGTCCCCCAGGCCCCCCGCAGACGGGCTGGTGCCCCTTCCGCCTGGAAAGGATACTGTTTTCTGACAGAGGAATCTTCTCTCCCCGCTCGTCGAACAGCTCCAGGCCCGTGAGGCCGATGTAATAGGGGTCGCCCCAGCTGGTCAGCAGCTGAAACTGAAAAATGACTGGGACAGGTTGTTAAGGAAAAACAGCCTTAATTTTCTGAGAACAAAGTAAAACGATGACAAAGGCAACACAGGGATGTGAATTTTTTTTTTGGTTTACAGAGAGAGATGAACAAGAGAAAAAAATTGATTTTCTTGGCCTTACTGAGACTGAAACCTAACAAAATATGTGGCATCAGGTTTTAATTTAAGGGGTGTGTGTGTGTGTGTGTGTGTGTGTGTGTGTTGAGACTGAAAACCTTTTTCCAGGCCCAGGAGACAGCAGGGGATGGTGTGCAGGGAGCTCGCAGGATGGGGACACGTGTGTCACAAACTCATTGTATGGTGCTGAACAAACTGACCAGGCCTCAAACTGTCTCATGCCCCAGTTTCCCTGGTTGTAAAATGACAAGACCAGGGTACCTATTCCCTCCTCCATCCATTCCAAGTGTGCGGGCTGTTGGGACACATGATCTTTGCAGCATCGGGAGGGATGGGCTGTGGTGGGTGACCCCCCATTGCTGACAACCAGGCATCAAGCCCTTCCTCAGCCTTGCCCCCCACTTGCTCCCAGCATTCCCAGGAGCTGACAAGGCAGGAAAGCTAACGAGTGACAGGGCGGCTTCCAGGGGATACCACAGCCAGAGGCAGTTCTTCCAGGAGATTGCCTAGAGAGCGAGCCAGGCTGCCTGTGTCACTAACCCAGCCTTGTCCCTTCCTAGCTATGCGGCCTTGGGCAGGTTACTTGGCCTCTCTGTGCCTCAGTTTCCCCAGCTTGTGAACTGGGGATGGGAGCAGTACCCACAACATGGGCTAATACAGCGAGTTGATGCAGGCAGCCATTGTGAACAGTGCCGGGCTGCAGCGGGGGTCAGTAAATTTGAGATACTGTTCCTTTTCTTTTCACCTCCCTCCCTGCCTGGAACCAGGGACAGCCCCCAGGCTTGATCCGGGGGGTCAGTTCCAGCTCCTCTGGCCCCTTCCAGCTATGCCCGAGGCACCAGTGTGTCCGAGGACCCGGGATCCTTTCACAGGAAACCTAGGCGCCCTCTCCCTGGGTCCCAGGCCTGGTTGTGAGCCCAGGACATGCGGGGTGGGGGGTGGGGGGAAAGATACAGCCACAGGGCATCAGGGGTGCCTCGTACTCCATGCTCGCCCGCTCCAGGCTTTTCGTGTCGAGCCTAAGGAAACACAAAACAGCACCAGTGAGCAGATCGCAGTGGCCGGAATTGCTGGTCAGTGATTCCCTGGGGACTCTGAGGACATAAGGTGGATAGTGTTCCCTGGGGGGCAGTGGGGAGCTCCCACTGTGCTGGGAGGCGGGGTTCAGTCATAGCCAAGGCCAGCACAGCAGTCTCGGGCTTCACCGGGATGGACCCTTCTGTACCCAAAACTACCCTGGGAGGTGGGTGCTCTTATCTCTCTGGGTTGTGAACGAGAGAGTTGGAGTACAGAGACATGAAGTCACTTGCTCAAGGTCACACAGCTAGTCGGAGGCAGGCCTGGAAGGTCACCCGAGGTTGTCTCTTAACCTCCCCTCTATTGCCCCTTTGCGAACAGGGCAAGTCCACGTTGTGCTAAGAGCTGAATGAGCCCCGTGATGAGGCAATGGGGTGGAGTGCTGGGCGGGGGTGGCAAGGCCGCCTCTGAGCTAAGGGGGACACAGCCACGTCAAGAGTCAGAGCCAAGCCTCCCAAGCACAGGAGTAGCCAGAGCAAAGGCCCTGAGGTGGGAAGGGGTGGGGGTGGGGGGTTGGCCAGAGCAGCTGAGTACGGATGGGGTGGGGTGAGAGGAGGGCAGGGAGAGGAGGCTGGAAGGTGGGGGGGTGCCATGAAGGCACTGGTTTCCTGATCCTGAGCAAGTGGCTTCACTAGCCAGGGCCTCAGTTCCCACATCTGTAAAATGGGCACAATAATCCCCACTTGAATGAAAGCACAGCATCTGGCACAAAGCAGGCACTTGGAAGAGCTCTGTCCTCCTCCACATTCCTCCCCACGGGCTTCTCTCCCTGGTCTGCAGCCAGTGCTCGCTCTCCAGCCCTGGCCTGGTTCCCTTCAATTTCAAGGGCAATGTTCTAATTAAGTGACTGTTCCCGGTGACCAGCCCAAGAAGCGATCCCAGCTACAGCGGAAAGAAACTCATTTCATTTCCAGAGCTTGGCCTCTGGCGCTTGGACATCAGGGGGTTTAAATGAGTGACCTTAATGTGGCATTTACAAATTGTTATGAACTGAACGCAGCTGAGACTGGGGCCAAGAAATCCCCAGGAATCCACGCCATGTTTGGCCCTATTTTTCTCTTCGGATGTTTCTACATCAGGAACACAGAAACAAGAAAAGGAAGGCCCTTCCCAGAACAAGCTAGCGGGCATTTTTTTGGACTCGGGCAGCCAGGATCCGCTTTTCCCAGCAGGAATCGTAACTGAAGCATTTAAAAAGCTCAAACACTCCAGACGGTGAGAAACCCAAACACGGAGACAAGGTGGGTCTATCCCTCTATCCCACAGGCTCCCGAGAGCCTTGGCTGAGCTTTAGAAACAGCCGAGTTAAAAAGCAATGTGTTTGATCACCATTTCAAAACGCTTCAGGTGGACACTTCAGAGCGTGGCTGATCCAAGGCCCTAGGACTGGGGGAAAAGACGTGCGTGGGCGGGACGGACATGGCGCCCCCTCACCTGTGCGCCGGCTGGGGCAGCAGTGGAGCCTGTAGATAGTCCACAAAGAGGATTTCTTGAGCAAAATCAAAGTGGCAGTTGCCCGGCCCCTTCCGGATGAGAAAGCCCTCTGGAGGGGAGATGCACAGGCTGTCCAGGGAGACATGGACGATTTTGGCCTAGCAAACAAAAGGAATAACATTCCTGAAGAAAGAAGCCAGCGGGGAGGGCAGCCGTGTGTGCTGATGCGGCCGGTGCTGCTGGCCGCTGGCATGTGCGACGGATGGAGAGGCCTCAGAGCGCCCAGCCTGAGAAACAGTGCCGTCTGTCCTTTCTCCCAGACCAGGTTCACCTGGCTGGGTACACTTTCCAGCATCATCCCTACTCTGTGCTAGGCGCTGGGCAGACAGCAGGGGACCAGGCAGGTGAGGCTCCTACCTCAGTGGACAGGTACAGACATGCTCCACTCCACTCGGCTGCAGTGGCCTCAGGTGGCGCAACATGGCGGTCAAGGGCATGGACTCAGGTGCTCTGACATCCACCATTGTTAGCTATGTAATTTCCTTAACTTATCCATGCCTCAGTCTCCTCATCTGTTAAATGGGCTCAATAATAACTCAGGGAAAGCATTTGGAACAGAGCAGTGCCTGGCACAAAATATATGCCCGATAAGTGTACTTGCTCCTTCCTCGAGCCCGGGCTCATGCCTCACCCCCGACCTAGTACTTCCGGTTCTCCCTTCTCATAGCTCTGACTTTTTAAACGTGCTGAACCTAAGAGCGCACTTACAGACACAGGGCGGCCCGGGGAGGGTCTGTAAGCTGTACACTAAGAGAAGCCGCAGCTCTGGAAGGAGCATGCCTGGGGGCTGGAGGTACCAACTCCAGGCCCCACAGGCCCTGGCACAGTACGTGGGGGGAGCCCAGGTCCGGGCTCTCAGGATCTGAGGTCAAGGCCTGGCTGTGTCAACTTTCATGTGACAAGGGGTGACAGCTACCTCCCAACGCAGGTACCACCCTCCTTGTGATTTTACAGATGAGGAAACTGAGGCCAGGGAAAAACAGACCACGTTCTGAAGGTCACACGGCTGGTAAGAGTCAGGCAGAGACTCAGACCCAGGGCCTGTGACCCCAGAGCCCTAACTGCACTGCTGTGCTCAGGCGCCCTCATCGTCATCACTTCTGTGGAGTAGGCGGTGTGTTTCATGGTTCATCGTAACAGGTCAGAAAAGCCCATGCAAAAGGGCGTTTCTGATGCTCCTTTCCACTTTCCAATAAAGGCTCCTGCATTTTTCCACCCAGCAGGAGAACGTAGCATGGGGCTTAGCGTGTGGGCCCCAAGCCGGGCAGATGTGGACTGGGGCTCTCACTGTGGGACCCCACATGAGTGACTGGCTCTTTCTGAACCTCACTTTTTGACACCCTGAAAGATGTGGGTAATAACACCTGCCCCCCAGAGGCTGGGACGAGGGTCCAGGGAAGTGCCAGGCCCCATGAAGCCCACCAGGAAC